CACACACACACACACACACACACACACACACACACACACACACACACACACACGACAATCAGCAGAGTGTCCCATTGCGCAATCATGCGTGTACGTGTCGCAAGCTCACTGTGTGAGATGGATGTCCGTACGCGTAGCCACGGCCTTAAAAAAAAGGAAAAAGAAAAATATAGTCAACCATAGCATACATTTTTATTGGATTGCGATGTTTTGAGGTTTCTTTTATGTGATGTGGTAACTTGACAGAGTGTATGTATTACGACATCAGTTGGCTGAAAGTCAGGGTATGGTGGGACAATGCAGAGTACACAGCGACATCTTGCATAGTACCCCGAGGTACTTTCCGATATATCGAACCGTACCCAGTGTACCCTCCGATAGTGCTCTGGGGGACATAGACCCTATCAGCAGTACTATCACACCGTAACACGAACAAACGTCACAGGACGTCATGGACAAACGTTACAAACAAACACAATCAGTACTGACAGAAACTTATTATTTAACAGCGTTACTGGCATTGCAACTAATATAGTATTACTATACTAAGCAGCCTAATTTTAAAGCTGCTAACATAGGTTTACTAATAATGTGCCTTACCTCTAACAAATGGCGACTTTAATTCTGTACGCTGAAATTTGAGAGTACCCGGGCCAAATTTTGCTCTGTCAGTGTAGCCCCTTCACTCTCGGACACCTCTTGTCTTGGCTCTTCTTCTCAATGTTGGAGGATTTATGGGATGTTGCAGTGTCGGGCTCGTCATGCGCTAAAAGCTTGGGAGAACCCTGATGAGCTCGCAAGCTTCTCACTGTCAGGGTTTCAATCTATTGAGGTTGCATTAGTCACATAATCACAATGTGTGCTTGGTAAATGCAACGATGTAGAGTGAACAAATTGTGCAGGCTCAGGTGCTCTACACTTGTAAGTTGTAGGGTAGTATGGGCCATCCTTAAAAAATTCTATGTTTGCTGTCCCCCGACCCATGATTTTTTTAGTGGGTAGGTAGGTAGGTCTTTTTTGTGTGAGGCATAATAGTTATTTTAAGTCTGTCCTCATGTTTGCCACACATGCTTTGTGTTTCAGTCTTAACTATGAGGAATGTAAAAAAAAAACTTGGGTTGCGGCTATTTTCGTGGGTCGGTCGGAGGACAGCAAACATGTAATTTTTTAAGGATGCCCTTGTGATCAGACAAGATTAATAAAATTTTGCAATTTTAATGGGGTGAATGAGTGTGGGAGAAGGTAGCAGAAGAGCATGCATAAATAAAAATACAATTTAAGCATTACATTACTGTAATTATAAGCAGGTTAGCAACAATGCAGCAATAATAAGCAATTATAATACAATTAGAATAGAACATCATGATCATCATCACTATGTGTTGACATCACCATTATAGCTCTATGGCTATATGTTATCCATGCCTCCATTCTCCCTATTACATCAAAGCTATAATGGGAAATATGGAGGCTATATTGCTGAAGTTAACCGTAACCCTACCAGACCCTAACTTAATTTGAATCCCATCGTGTATCATATGGGGTCTTAAAGTTGGATTGACCCTTTTTAGCTCACCTTGACATCTTCAAGATGAGCTATTGCCATGGGTCGTCGTTCGTCGTCCGTCCGTCCGTCCGTCCGTCCGTCCTTCCGTCAACATTTGGCTACGGTCAATGATAACTCAGGAACTGTTTGACCCACATGTTTGAAATTGGGTTTAGTTGTTACTGCTATGCTCCCATATTGAACGTCCTATTTTGGAGCACGCCAGTCGACGTACTTTTGAGCCACGGAAATTTTTTGGCAAAAAGGGGAATTGCCATTAGTCAGTTCAGGTTCAACGGATTTAACATTGACAACTAGAATTGGTTCCACAAAATCGTTAAAGTACATAGTTATTGATAAATAAACAGGTATAGGAATTACATCTTAAATGCTGTGTGTGGTCGGAGACCATAAAACCTATGATGACACAGAATAACTATCAATTTTCTAATCTAGTCCAGATAATATCTGTACCCAAACCAAGCACTGGGACTTACCAGGAAATATGAAAGCACTAAAAATGTGGCTGCACTTGTTATATGCCAGATTCGAGGGTCTGTTGTTACTAGCAGTAAATTTGAGCTGATGTCAGTACCTCCCAGTGTTTTGATCTTAGTTAATTTCTCAGAATAAGTTTACAGGATTTGCAGACTATCCCAAACGTTTTATAACTTTTGTGGATGAGCTTAGCACTCTTGCATTTAATTGCTGGTTAAAACCAGTGTAGAATAGTTTGGCTTATACTGTCATTTATCAATTATAGGCAAGGGTATTTGGTTATTGCAATAGCTGTCTCAGAAGATTGAAAGTAGTTAATGTAAATCTCATTGTATTTGTTTCAGAGGCCTCACTGTATGACCCCGAGAAGAATTTTGGGTGTTTGGACGGATCCAATGTTATTCCATTCCATTTTGTGAATGATGATTACTGTGATTGTGCTGATGGAAGTGATGAACCAGGTAGGCACCTATACTGCATTAACCATCTATCTAACTAGCATGCAAGTTGAGTAATGTCCTGTTTTGGACAAGCATAAAACTCATGGACAATCATCATAAATCTAACTGTGGCATAAGCCTTGGATAGTTAGCATCTACTGAAAAAACACTTGCCATGTATCTAGCTGGCATAGATTATGTAAATTTATCACCTGGTTCAAGTCATGTATAGCATTTGTGTATGTTGTCACAAGTATATCTTGGTGGCAGAAGACATCGTTATAGTTGATGTATTATTTAACTTCTTTTCTTCTTAGTTGTTGTTGCTATTATGTCTGTGAAATGGTTCATACCTTATCGCTTACAATGTATTAGAGCTATGGGGTATCATATGCCCTGCAACACCAATGGTGGTAGCCCATGTTAATCCAGGTTAGCCATGTTACCATAGCCACATACAAACACCATGATACAACCAGAAGGTGTTATAGGTGTTATAGGGTAGCTATATTCCACCCGAGTTGTGTATATATAATCTATATGTCACACTGAAACACTGAATACATCTGAACTGTGATCAGAATAAATGTATCTTTGTATTTGAATATACATTAATTATTGAATATATATATATATATATATATATATATATATATATATATATATCAAGAGCTCATAATAGAGAAGAGTATGACACCGTTTTAACAGCGTTTTGAATAGTTTTCAACTTGTAAATATTCTATCAATATGTGAATGTCAAACTTTACTTTGTTTTCATCTATGATTCTTTTTTAATCATATGACACCACCAGTTTACCTGAAAATCGTATGTGTTCTTCAAAAAAGTTATTTGAATACGACACGGTTTTACACAGTTTTCCCAAATGATCGCATGTATTCGGCGCAAGTTTATTATCGGATTAGCGTTCTATTGTCTATGACGGAATGCTGGGGGCTGTTGGGGATATTAGGCATCGAATTGTATTTAGCATTAGCGTGTAGCATTTCCAGCGTGCTAGAAATAAATGTGTGCTCACGGC